TTCATCAATTATTTCTCTCTCCTCCTTCCCCTCTCCTTCTATCACTTGATCCCCTCCCCCTCAAGAATCGTCTATTTCCCTACTTCCTATTAACTGTCTTTTATATGCTCTTTATTTTTATTCTGGGTTTCTCATATAAGAGAAACAATGTGATATTTAAGTTTGTGTGTCTGATTTCTTTTACTTAACATTATGGTCTCCAGGTGTATCCATTTTCAGGGAAAATGAACCCTCCTACACCACTGGTGGGAATATAAACTAGTACAACCACTTTAGAAATCAATATGGAGATTCCTCAAAATCTAAAACTAGAAATTCTATTTGACCCAGCTATATCCTTTCTAGGTATCTTCCTGAAAGAGTTAAAAGACATATTATAGTGATACATGCATGCCCATGTTTATAGCAGCACAATTCATAATAGCTAATTCTTAGAAGCAGCCCATATGTCCATCAGCAGATGAATGGATAAAGCAAATGTGTTATTTATACACCATGAAGTTCTACTGTGTCATAAACAAGGATAGACTTGAGTCATTTGTAGGACCGTGGATGCACCATGTGATATTTAAGCTTGTGTATCTGATTTATTTCCCTTAACATTCAAGGTGCATCAATTTAGGACTAACAATTTCTAAGGCACTGTCACCTAAATCCAGACACCAGAGTTTTACACAGGGCCCAGTGGGTCCTAGAACCACAACTGCATTGTTTGAGTGAAAGTACCAAGGTTGTGAGGGAGTTCCTTTTCACGTAGAGTCTCTCCAAGTACTGCAGTCCTTCACTTTTCAGTAAGTCCAATGGGAAATGGCAAATTCCTAAAATATAAAAACAAATTCTTGTGCTTTCAAGCCTTGCCACAGAGATCATCTTACAAAGATCAGACGTCATGAACAAACATCCCATCAGGCATGCTGTGGGACTACAGCTTGTCAAAGCTGGTCCACTTTCGGTATTTTTGGGCTTCTCCAGTGTGAGGGCCTGTGTGCTGCGTAGGACCCATGTAGGGGAACCTGGTTCGGTATGGATTGTCCCCAGGAGTAGGGAGTGGCCAGGAAACCCAGCACGTGATCCTCCCAGTCCTCCTGCACTCACCTCGGCACAGCCCCAGCCAGCTATCTTGATATTCATCTTTTTAAAATGTGTTTTCAGAGAATTAAGGAACTTACATTTGCAAAATGGAGGATAAAAATATTTTACTGGATTAAATAGGGAAGATAGAGGAACCACAAGGCTCCATAAATTATATGGATCATCCTTGACTTATTTTCTTCCCTGCTTAACTAAAGACTGAACTCTTCATTTTTAGTTTCTTCCCTTTCTGCACAAAAGTCATCTTTCATTTTTTGAATAGCCTTTCCAACTCATTTGTCTTTTTCTACTCTTTTTCTTTTATAATGTTTGGCAGATTTGCCTTACTCATTTTTAGGTTGGTTTCCAGTTTTTCAGGCCATAGTTAGGAACCTTGCCAATGTCTTCTAAAGCTCCCTTTTTACTCTCCCTTTAGCTAACTTGAAATCATCTTAAGTTTCTTGGCAGTGATTTGTAGTGGCAACCACAGGAACCTGGGCACTTGTAGGCTGTAGCACCATGGAACCCTTCACAAAGTCAGATTGCATTATTGATACATCTAAGAAGCTCTCATAAGCCTGATTTATACACTCCTCATGAATGATACTTTAATACAAACAACAAAATGAATCATTATTAAAGTTAATATTTATTTAGATTAATCTGAATGTTTATCCTGGGTGGTTGTCTTGTCTCAGTAATTTGAAGAGCTCATTACACTGTCTTTTGGCTCCCATTGTTGCACTTGAGAAACTGGCTGTCAGGTAATGTTTTCTTTTTTACATGATGAGTCTTTTCTTTCTGGCTGTTATTATGATATACCATTGGTCCTGAGACCAGGAGATAGAGGGAAAGACAGGCAGAAGAGGGCCTGAGTAAGTTGAGTAAACTAAGTAAATTAAAGGCTAGGACCTAAAGGAACTAAAGATAATTCTCAAGAAAATAGACCACAAAGGACAAGTCCCTCAGTAAACTAGGAAAAATCTCAAAGGGTTGGAATGCAGAAAGCAAAGAAATAATACATACCACTTTCCAGACATCAAAAACCTGACAACAGCAGCAGTAACTGCTTACCAGCTTCCTGATTATACTCCTACACCTTTTCTTGTGTCAAGTACTGCACAAAAGTCCTTGGACTTAAACAATCTGCAGTGTTCTGCTTTTGGAACCCTTCCTGCATCAGTCTTTGTTGCCCTCAGAAAAAGAGCCCAGAGGAAGGGAGCTGCTTACAGCCCTAACTTAATTGCAGTTTTACTACTGTGTGTCTAGGTGTGCATTTTTTTAGTTTTCCTGGTTGGGATACACTATGATTTCTATGTCTATAGATTCATGTTTTTCATCAGTTTTGCCTATTCTTATCTAATCAAAGAACTTTGCCTTTCCTTCATTCTATCTATCCCTTTTGAGGCTGTGATGTAATGCCTCTCATCCCATCACCCACATATTTTAATCTCTTTTTGCATTTGTAATCTGTTTTATTGCTGTATTAAGTAATTTCTTTAATTTCATATGCTTAATCTGGTGTTTAACCTAGCCTTTTATTTATTTGTTTGTTTTTGAGACAGGGTCTTACTATGTGTAGTTCAAGCTAGCCTTGATCTCATGGCAGTCCTCCTGCCTCACCCTCCTAGTGCTGGGATTACAGGCATTTGCCACTGTGCCTGGCTAACCTAGGCTTTTAAGACCCCCAAACCCTAGTACTGGGGATTGAAGCCAGGGCTTTTGCATTGCATTACATCCTCAGCCCTTAATTTTTATTTTGAGGCAGGGTTTTGCTAACCGACTGAATAACTCACCAAACTTGTTATTCTCCTGCTTAAGCCTCCCAGAGTGCTGGGGTTACAGGTATGCACCACCACACCTGGCTAAAGTGGTTCTAGTGTGAAATCAGAAATCAGAAAAAAATTTGAAAAATCACACAAATGTGTATGAAGGATTATATAGCACACACACGTATTATATTACAAGTCAACAATCCAAGTATTACTGAGATCTGTGAACCCCTTTTAAAACACATTTTTCTTCATCTTCCCAGAAGTAGGCAGTTGATAGTTTTAATAATCTTTCCTTTGTTTTATGCTCTTACCTCACGTACAGACACTAAAGCAATACAGTTTAATTTGTCAGAACAGAGTTGTACTGATACTTGTCCTGTGTTAATTCCTCCGTGTTTTAAGATTGACTGAAATTGTTGCTTGTAACTGGTTTATTTTCAGTCCTGTCCGTCACATTTTAAGTATTAAACAGTCACAAGTATCTAGAGACCAACTCTAGCACGGAGCCCAAGTTTAGTAAACACGCTCCCCAAACCCGATTTCGCCTCTGGTGTCGCCAGGCGTGAGAACCGCTTTTCCAAGAGGAAGGTTGCCTTTCTGAGCCAGGTGGGGAGCCCAGCACGCAGGGAGAGGGTAACACGCAGGCGCAGAACCCGGGTGGGGGGGGTGCGTAATGCACAGGCTCGGCGGGGCGGGCAGCGGGGAGGGCCTGTGGGCCTGCTTCTGGTATGCAGCGAGGGATTAGTCCGGAGCGAGGAATTAGCTGTGACCTCTACTTTCCGACTTGCGCAGCTTCCTCTCACCCTACTCCACCCCGGACCCTGAGGCCTCGCACTTCTCTGCCACTTGGCGCCCACCTGCGAACAGCCCCGCAGGAGGCTTATCTGCCCGCTGCTCCGGCCCCGCGTTGTGCCTGAGCAGGGTCCCCATCCCTGCACACCTGTTAGGGCGGCCGGAAGTGACCCTCAGGTGGCTGAACAGGGGAGTCTGAAGCCTGGCTCCAGCACTTCGTCTGTGATCCGTGGAAGGTTACTTTCTAAGCCACCTTTTCAAGCATGCGCACACATTCTGGTGCGTTAATTTAGCAATCTGGAATAGGTCCTGTCACAGTTCAGTTTCTGTTTCCTGTTTCAGTTGCTGTTAAGTCACAGAAGCCCTTTGCCTACACCTAGCCAACTACAATGGAAATTCAATTAGGAATGTGAGATGGTAACTTCCCATAAAATGCATCCTATCCACTACTTCCATATGAGATTTCTTGAAGGTAATCATCACACCTCATCTCTGTCGCTAATAAACCTCGTTGAGGTTATTACCCCAAACTCTCCAACATTTATAAATATTCCTTGCTGTGTACTTATATATCCACCATGCTCTATGACCTTCCCACCTTTACTTAGTGTCCCTTTCTTCATTACACAGGTCCCCTTTATAGATCTGTTAAACTCCTAGCCATTCTGCATGGCCAATTCTTCAGGAAGCCACTCTTGATTTCTGTAGCGTCCTTGTTCGCTCCCTGATCCAACCCTTTTCACTGTTACAGTACCTGACCCGTTCTTTTGTATGGAAATTGCGTCCCTCGCTTATTATCCTTTCTACTTAGCTTCTCCACACACATTAAGTTCCTTGAGGATGGGAGCCATGATCTTTTCATTTTTGAGTACCCGGACATACTCTGAAATATGAGTTAAAAATAAGGGGACCATATTAAAAGCCTTGATGATTTTGATTGGAACATTGAGGTGTTTTTTTTTTCAAGAGGGCAATTTTGAAATCAGTAGCTCCAAATTAACTATAAATGTAGGGCAAGGGATATGAATTAATTTCTCAATGCTTCCTCGGTGCTTTCAAATATGTTCTCGTTTCTTACAACTGTGAGGTACCTCCTTTATGGATGAATAAACTGAAGCTCAATGGAATGGCTTTCCTAACATATCACTGCTTTGAACAGCAAACCTCTTAATTTGAAATCTCTTCTCACAGCATTACAAAGAAAAGTAGACCAAGTAGTACAGGTTCTCTTTCAAGAATCAAAAATGTTCAAAAATGCCCTTCCCAAAGTACAAGCAAATGTTAAGATAAATTAAATATGGTGACGTTACAAGTTAAAAAAAAGATGTCATTTTTTATCAAACACAATACCAGTATACTAGATCTCATTAATAGAAATTTTAATGTTTCATGATGATGTACTTTAAAAAAAATGATGGGCATTTAGCAATTGCATTGGCAGGTTGGCTAAGTCCATCAAATACCATTTATATAATTCAATACTCATAGAGCACAAGAATGTGTTTTGCAACAAATGACAAATAGAAGATATGGTCCCTGCTCAGAAGGCTTATAATCTGAAAGGTAGATAAGACACAGGAAATGTAACTAGAGGGATAGAAAACTATGTTGAAATTTTGTTTTTGCATGAAAATTTTCTAGGTCTTTGGTGATAACCAATGAAATGCCTTGCTTAAGTAGGTTTTGGAATGAGATATTAAAAAACTACTACTACTACTAAAAATAATAAAAAGCATTAATATAATGACAAAAAGATTGATTTGGCTTCTGGGACATAATGTAAAATGATTCTCAACTGATGGCAAGAAGATACTTCACTGGGTATAAGAGTATTTGGGAGGCCGGGGATTTAGTTCAGTGGTTTCGCCGCCTGCTGCACAAGCACAAGGACCGGAGTTCGATCCCCGGTACAAAAAAAAAAAAAAAATTATTAAAAAAAAAAAAAAAGAGTATTTGGGGGTAAAATAAAGAGGGTATGGAGTTTCAAAACAAGCTAGTACTTTCAGCCCTTGCTTTAATCGTCTTTATTTAAAAAATTCAGTTAGCATTAAAGGGAGTGGTGGTCTTTTCAGTTTCCAGAGAAGAGGTATGAGAGGTACCAAGATGGAAGACCAAGAAATATCAACGGCTGAATATGGTGCTAGGGAAAAAAAAGGTAACAACAGAAGTAAGGAGAAGGAGTCCAGTGTAAGGTCAAAAGCAATGGAAGAATTAATAGGATGACTAAAAGTTAAAAGCTATTTGAGGGGAAGGTTTCATATGAACTTTGAGGAAAAATTATGAAAACATTTAAACATATAAAGCTCCTGCTGAAGCACAAGATACATTTAAAATAATTTTGATTAAAAGGGAAAATATACTGTGTAATATTTAATAAAATAATTTTATAATCTATACAGAATTGAATAAAAAGTACAATAAATTATTTTCACTTCTTTTCAAAACTGCATATAGTACAACTAGCATGTTGGATTCAGCATTCTATGGCCATACACCAAGATGGCAACATACTCTTTTCTTAAATAGGTCAAGGCTCTGGCTGGGTGCCACAAACTGTGGATTAAATTCAAGGGATATATTCCTTTGGTAATGTGAACAATTTGATTGTACCATAGGCCATTTTATTTTTTAAAAAATTAAATCCCTCAAACATGATTTTTCTCTTTTTGTTGTAGTTATTATAAGATTTTTTTCCATGAATGAAATTACCAAGGACGATGAACTTGGAAAAAGAAAATCAAAAGGAATTTACAGCAATTATTTATCTTCAAAGTTCAAAACTGGTCACTTCACAGAAAGACTTCAGGGCTTGTTGAAATTTTTCTTCTAAAAAGTCATTCTGTAGTGGAGTTTTCTAGGAAAAATTAAACAGCTTTTAATAACTGGCCCACTGGTTCAAACATGATTTTTCTGATTGTTTGTGGACAGTTTTTTACGGAGCAAAAAGAAAGCAACAAAAAAGGAGACAATATAAAATTAGAAGTTGGTACTTTTATGACATACTTCTCCTTCCCTTCCTCAGCTAGTATTCCTTTCCTTTCCCTTAACTATTAAGGAAAGTGAATGGGAATGACATATTCTTATTCTCACCTGTTTTGCTTCTAAGATCCCCGCTTAAACCAAATGAGTATGTCAATTCTGCAATCTTGACACTATTATTACCATTGTTGAGCTGGGTCATTCTAAAAAAGTTAACACCCCAGTTAAAAGCACCTACCTACCTACATGCTTTGTACAGTAAGGCAACAAAGTTGGCTTTGAAATAGTTTTCATGTCTCACAAATATTAGCAATCCCTACTGATTGCAGGATTAAATGCATATAGAACAGTATTTTTTTCAAGTTAATGTGGAAATGGAGTTGCTAGCAACTTTTAATTAAGCAAATATTCAAGATGATCCACCCTTAGAAACAGGGCAGATTTAAGGTACAAAAATACAGGAATCAGAGACCCCACTGAAATAATTAGAAAGAGGCTCAGTTTATGAAAAAGGCCTTGGAATAATCCAACTCCTACTGACATCTTTATCTTGAACAAGAAAATCAAAATAATACAAAAGCTATAAATGGGAATGCGGTTATTTTAAAGAAAAAGACATTTTCATTTCATTTCGGAAATAAAAGGGACTCCAAATACAAAATGGGCTAGTTGTATCTTTAGCCCATGTATGATTTTTATCATGGAATTAATAGTCTTCCACACTGAAGTATTATAGACAAGCCAACCTAAGTTTTCTGATTAGGTCTCTTCATTTAGATATAAGCAGGCTCTAAAACTTGCCTTCTTTTCTTACTAAATGAGCTTCTCTGGGAAGCATAAGAATTATGCAAAAATGTACTTCTAAAGAAAAGTTTACACAATACATAATGGTAAAGATGGGAACCAAGAACATTCATACAATGAATTTTCTAAAAATAACTTAAAATTAGAAATGACACATACTCCTTATAGGACATTAGACCAGAGCAAATATTGCCAGTCACAGGAACAACATTCATCTGTAGAAACTCAAATGCACATGAGTAACACAGAAATCAGAATGAAGGTCAACTGATGCAGGTGCTGACAGAACGTATTTCTATCATAAATTACAATATCCTGTGGCCTCTGTGAAGCCCTGGTCCCACCAGGACAAGAGTCTGGCTAAGTGGATTTAGATGTGCATGATCTACAAAAATCAAACTTGGTCACTGATCAAGTATACAACACTATGTGCTGCTTGATTGCTCTTGATTACTTGGTTTTCAAAATCAAGTTCGCTTTTGAATCAGATAAAAGTCATCCTTGAATTAGCTCTCATAAATACTCCATGAAAGAAACTTCACTTCTGGCTTGTCTCAACAGTATCACGATACCCCAAGAATACAAGGGATTAGTTGAGCAGCTGCTTTGAAGCCATGAAATGCACATTCATAAATATTTGTCTAAACCTTAAAAATATTAAATACATCCAGGCAGTTGCTGTGCTGAGATTTTGCTGTAAGAAGCAGCTCTTCAGCAATGCCTTATGAAGTGGTTACTTGAGAACTTGACTCTGGATCTTCCTGCTTTCTACATTTCTTCGCAACACTGACTGCACCACCAATCAGGAAAACCACAGCGATGAGTGCAAAATAGCTGGCGTAGATCAGGAACTAAGAGGCAGAGAAGGAGTAACGACAGAACAGTCAATTAGAATATACTCTATGTAATTAAAGATATACTAAGTTTCTTAGACATACTTCAAAAAACATTGCACCAAATGTGGTGGGGCATGCCCATAGTTCCACCAACTCCAAAGGCTGAGGCAGGAGAACTGCTTGAGCCCAGGGCAACATAGACCAGCCTGGGCTGGGCGACAAAGGAAGACCTTGTCTAAAAAAGCCAAAAAACATTCCATCCACACACTATGTGTCAAGGACTGAAGATACAAAGCAGCAGTCCAGCATGGTAGTACTAAAATCTGACTCTCTGAGTGTGGCTTCATTCCTTACTAGCTCTGTGATCTTGCTGCAATACTTAATTTCTGATCTGGACTGCTTCATTTACAACAGACTTCCTAACAATTCACACCTCACAGGGCTGCTGGGAGGAGTCAATGAGATCATGCATGCAAATATTTATGAGCATAATGTTAATGCTGTTAACATTATTGTTTTTTATTGTTGTTGCTGTTATTGTTTAAATGAGTCATGGCCTATATCCTTAAACTAGTAGGTGGGTACATTAAACCAACTTCTGATGATCAGAACTTCTAGGCTTTCCCAGAAGAGGGCAGTAGAGGCCAACTCTATTCCATTACAGGATCACCTTTTTTAAAACATAAGAATCTTTCCTAAGACGATTTTTAAAAATGTGACGATAGTTTATCAATAACTTCATCATTTACTACTCCTTAAAAGAACTTACTAAATATTTAGAACTCACATATTCATAATACTTATAAAGCGGTTCAAAGGTTCAATTAAGAATGTAGCCTTAAATCTCTGAGCCAGGTTATTTCAAACCTGGATACACTTTTATAGGAAGCCTCTTACAGCAGTTAATGTCAGAAGAGGTCACAAAATCCTGTTATTAAAGCCACCATTTCTACAGCAGGTCATGTGTTAAGAACCATAATGCTGCCTGTCAATAGCAAGTCATTATGTTAGTATTCAGGTGAGGGGTGCTTTAAGTAAAGAAGGGAGAAGACTACGCTGTGAGATGAAACAGGGCATCTCAAACCTGAGACACAGTATTCCAGGCATAGATAAAGGATGACTGGGCTACACTCAGTGGCAGAGCACTTGCCTAGCATGAGTAAAGACCTGGGCCTTGAACTTGTGATCCTCCTGCTTGCCCTCATGAGTAGCTGGGCATACAGGGGTGTGACCTGCACCCAGCTGTGCATTTGTTTTTATTAATCATGCCCCACTTCTGTTATCCTGACCACATGAGGCTACTTTTAGGGCCAAGGGAGAGAACTTACTTGAGTGGTGATATCTAAGCCAAGGCCACTGGCATCCACCACAATCAGAGTGAGCAGGGTCTGCAGTGCCAGGGCAATGAAGGTGTTGACACCAAACACCAGGGCATAGCGTTCCATGCTGAGGTTTGCAGCAATCTGAAACCTTTTTGCAAAAGAAAAAGAAGAATGAATAGATTAAAATCGCTTGTTGGACAGTTGCAATTTTTACTCTAAATGTGAAGCACAGTCCCTTTTTTGTACTGGCAATTTTCTTCCTAACCAAGGGGGAAAGTTGTGGCTAAACATAAATCTCATGCAAACATCTGAAAACAATAGTAATGTACAAACAAGGGAATAGGCCAACTTTGTCTAAGTGCTTCCAGAAGAGAAAAACTGATAATGCACATATAATAAAATGCCTCCTCCCGTTTGTCCCTTTCACCTAGACATTTTAATTTCTTGGTTTGTAAAGAAATTAACAAACGTGTCCTGTCACAACTTTTCCTAATGTTTCTTTGAGCCAGAATACATACGTTGCTATTGTGATGAGTAACATGTAGATGATTCTGAAGATGACATAGGATGTGTAGCACGCCCAGATGTTAACCACCGTGTCCATGACATACACTGCAGCAGCAATCAGGAGGGAGCACAGGGATAATGTAATCTCTCCCCACGTTGACCAGGATATTTTTATGTAACCAATTGCAAACACAGCGATAGCACCTACAAGACAAAAAAAGTGATCTAGTTATCTTACTAAATAGATACTATTTCGATAAATTACAAAATTCATTACTATTAAAATTTTAAATCTTTAAGCTTATAAATTGGATAGCTCAAGATTATGGTGGACCTTGAAACTTGAAAATTTTGTTTTTGACAGAATAAGTAACATGGAGCCACTGAGGGACAGTGAGAGACTGAACTAGGGCAGGTGGCAATGAGATGGAAAAGGAGGACAGAGACCCAGGTGTACTGCCAAGGAGAAGACTGCGGGGTTGATGCAAGGCAGAAGTGAAAAAGAACCACTGCTTCTAAGTGGGCAACTTGGCAGGGTGAGTCATCTCTCCTTCGGACCTAAGAGCAATCTAGGGCTTCTCTACCCTTTGATAAAATGACGAGAGTTAAAATACATGGAGTGCTTTCTCAGTGCCAGACAGATATCATATAAAACCTTCCAATAAGATTTTATTATGATGCAGGGCAACAAATCAGAAAGGGACAATATGGTCTGATGTCTAGTACACAGGCTCTGAAGCCACCCTGCCCAAGTTCAAATCTTGACTTCACTACTTTCCATGTACATGATGTTAGGTAAATTATTAACCTACCTGTCCAAAGTTTCTATTTATTAAAAAATGGCAATAATAACTGCACCTATCTCATGATAAAGTCTACCACATCTTACTCAACAGATATTAGTTACTAGGGGCCAGGGATTTAGCCAGTGGTTCCACCACCTGCCTCACAAGCGCAAGGTCCTAAGTTCGATCCCTGGTACCAAAAACAAGACAAAACAAAACAAACAGATATTAGTTATTATTGTTAAAAACCATAATATATTGCTACTTAAAATTCACATCAAATGACAAAATCATTCAGTAAATACGTAGGTAAGAGAAACTTGTGGACAAGCAAAGAAAACAATTATGTTAGGCTTCTCCAAAACATAAATTAATTCAAAGTTGCCAGTCAACGTCCTCCATCACTCAAGTACTTCCAAGTCCTCCTAAATTATAAAATCAGACCTTAAACAAATTAATCTTTGGAGCTGCTTCAGGTTTGGGAGAGGAGAGTTAGTCATGGTTGGCTTACCTACCAGGACTCTTCCCACTCTACCCGCTACCATCCTGCTTCACTTACCCAATAAGGTTGAAATGGCCTCCACCCCACCATTGTAGATAGCAGCATGGCGAGAAGGCATCACGGTCTCCCACAGGCCCTGGGCGTAGTTGATGACTTGGAAATAGCCACAGGTGGAGAGGGCCCACCACACAGACCAGCAGAGCAGGGGACGGGAGGAGTAGCACATCAGGAAGTCATTCCACAGTACCTTCAACACAAGGAGGCGGTCCGGCTTGGGATCCTATGCAGCAAAGGGAACAGAATGCAAACAGTTGTGCAGAGAGCAATTAGTGTGCAAACCCTATTTTCTTTTTCCTTATATAAACTAACTGCTTATTTCATATAAATAAAATATAAACTCACTAGCAAATTATATTTAGCCTTTTTAAGGGGGGGAGATGACTCTTTACAACCTTATAAATGATAAGCTACAGTAAAGATACAGAGCTGTTCTTGATTATTCATGTCTAATAACAATATTAGTAACACCAATTACCATGTATTAAGAACTTACTATGCACATTCATTTGAAAGCCTCATATTGTCTCATTTAATAATCAAAACAATAGATATATGAATCAGGAAACTAACTGCACAGAATTTTTTTTCTTCTTCTTCCTTTTTTTTTTTTTTTTTTTTTGGTACCAGGGATTGAACTCAGGTCCTTGTGCTTGCGAGGCAGGTGGCAGAACCACTGAGCTAAATCCCCGGCCCCTAACTGCACAGAATAACTTGCCCAAGAAGTTTTCTAACTGGGACTTGAACTTCTTGTTCTTTAAAACATGTTATACTTTGCCAATAGAAATGACATTATTAAATTCCAGAGTAGCACTACTAATTGTGCTGATCTCATTATTTTATAGAATTCAAACATGCATACACACAAAAGATGCTTACTAAAAGGTGTTCAGATTTAGCTCAGTAGGGGCCGGGGATTTAGCTCAGTGGTTCTGCTGCCTGCCTCAGATTTAGCTCAGTGGTTTCACCACCTGCTGCGCAAGCGCAAGGACACAAGTTCGATCCCCAGTACCAAAAAACAATAAAAAATAAAAAGGTATTCAGTCTACAAATAGATGCATGGCCACATTAAGAGAACATCTATGAAGTCTTTACTGGGGATGGAACTCGGGCCCTTGTGCTTGCACAGCCGGCGGCAAACCCACTGAGCTAAATCCCCGGCCCACATCTATTAAGTCTTAATGGCATGCCAGTCCCCTTGCTGAAGTATTTAATTTGGATCTTTGTGTGTGGTGCTGAGGATAAAACCTGAAGCTCATATACTCTAGGCCAAGTGCTCTAGTACTGCGCTTCACCCCCAGCACCCTGAATCATTTTTAATGAAGAATTCAAAATATGTCAGGTCTAGATAGAAGCCAAGGGTGAGTCTAGTTCCAATTGTGAAAGAAAATTGCTGGTCTTCTTCCTGTAGTGTCAGCAACCTCTGCTCCAAAGGAACAGGTTTTCTCTGAAAAGAACTTAAAATACTCTAAGGTAACTTGTGGACAGGATTATCACTTAGACTCCTCCTACTTCATTTTCCCTTTCTATAAAATCCACATTAAACTACCTGCCTATCTACCCACTTTGCAAGAATGACCTCAGCTATACTTATGGTTTAATTGTGGATTCTGTTAGTTTAAAATGGCTGCGACGTCCAATATCCACACCCGACTTTCCTTTAGGGCCACTGAGTCCAGGTACCAAGCAGCCACACCCACTTGCTAAGTCAGTAGCAGCTGAGCCCTCGACATCACAGAACTGACTTGAACCCTAATTTTGCCTACACGATAGCCAACTGGATGGTTCTGACAATGTTGCCAGCCTAGTGAAACATCTTACAGAGCAAAGTATAGTGAGAAGTGGACTTCACATATGCTCTTAAAATATGTTTAGGACTACTACTTGTGCAATTCTGCATAAATTGCTAATCTCTCATCCCAATTCTTACCTAGATGAGAGGGTTGATGAGCCCTAACCCTTTCTAAGATGCTCAGACTGCTCTCTAACCTGTCATTTTTAACACTTTGTAATTCTTCAGTATGTAAAAAACTGATATTTTGTGTATCTGTACATGATAAATTTCAAATTGGTCTAGGAGATAGTTGTTTACACTGCAGATCACAACTCATCAGTGAATAATAAAATTGATTTAATAGGCAGTGACCTGATATAAAAATTAAAGTTTGAAACTCACCAGTCTACAAGAATCTTTAAAACTATGCTTAGTGTTAATATTTAAAATGTCTTATTCATATATACTATCACATATATGTACATATTATTTTTAGCCAAAGCCATTATAATACATTTGAACCACAAAAGAACTCCCATATTTTTCTACTATAGGAGGTCTGTCAAATGATTATATTTCTTCCCTCCCCTAACTACCCCTTTTTGACCTTCCAGTGTCACCTAGCAAACTATGAGAATCAGTATTTCACCGATACTCAGTCCCTGGTCATGTTGACTAATGCCGCCCACAGGTGCTCTGGTAGTCAACAGTGAGTGTCATGAGTGTCAAACAGACTCCTTGGAACGATAACCTAAATTCCAACTAGTAACCTACGGTGAAGAATGGGAGTAAGCAAGACAGTAGTTTTCACTGAGGACACTAGAGGGTTGGGTTAACCACTGGGTTAACTCCACGTAGAGAACCACGACTCACTGGGCCCACAAAACTCATGGAGCTTGGTGTTATGTCTGACGAAGCCCACAGGCCAAGTATGAATGTTAATAGGCTTATTTCCAAACATGTTTCAGAAAAACTCAAACTGATTCAGTGTGCTTGGAATGAGCTTTGCCCTTCAGAGCTTGTAACAGCAGGGAAAAAACAAACAAAGAAACGTCTATTAATAAAGTAATAAAAAAAGGTAAGTGGCTGGGGAGGCAATTAATCTTCCTGGCCACAAAGAATGAAAGTATGAAGTATTTTAAACACCATACTACTTTGTCCTAAGAGGTAGCTTTACTATTATACTTTTAATATTTACTCCATTATCAGCTTAAATTTTTCTCTTGTGATTCTCTTCCTCTGCATTATTCATTACTACTTCACTTTGGAAGGATAAATAAAATGTATCATTTCTAGCACAGAAAAGGAAAGTGACTATCTTCAAATACTTTGAACATTGGTTCAGAACCTAGAAGTACAGATGATACATTTATCAGATGAAACATTTTCATCTACTCATTTAGCAAAAAATCTGATTTTTTTTTTTTTTTGAGACAAGGCCTCAGTATATAGTTCAGGCTGGCCTTGAACTCACTATGTAGCCCATGAACTCATGGTGATCCTTCTGCCTCAGCCTCCTGAGTGCTGGAATTACAGGTATGTACTGTCACACTCAGCTACTAGCAAAAAAATGTGAGCGCTTTCTCTGTACCTCAAGCAGTGGCGATAGAAACATTCAGGAGACACAGCCTCTGAAATTCTAGACATTGCTGAAATGAATACATAATGCTATGCCAGGATGACTTTCAAGCACTTTAGGGGAAAATAAGTTTGTTGTCCCTAACACAAATCAGTTGTACTTTGAATGAATGAATGAATGAATGAGCCAACAAACCAACCCAGAATAAAACCTGAATCCAAATGAATACAAGATCTATCAAGAAGGAGTTCCTGTCTGTGTTACCACCATTAGCCACCCCCCCCTCGCCCCCCACAAACTGTAATTACAAAAAATTCAAGGCTGAGCTTACTGGTTCCTCCGTGGCAGGCTCCTCCAGATTTAAAGGAATTTTTGACTCAATGTCCTCCCACCCCGGAAGGTGGTTAGAAGCAGATGTGTCAGTAACAATGCTGCCATTTTGTACCTTGATGCCATTCATTCCCTGGCAGGATGAAGGAACGTGATGAAAGAAGAGGCTCTTCTGTGGCATAGGCAGAAACCAGGCCACAGCAAAAGCCACAGAAACACAGGTGAGAGAGACGACATTCAAGCTGAACAGGGACCAGCCTGCCACCGAGACAAGGATTTGTCCTAGGACAGAACCCACTGTGAAGCCCACTAACGTGGCGCTTCGACAGTAACTTGTGACCTTCTGGTACATGCCCAGGTCTACTACACTGTAGATGTAAGAGTAATAGGCAATTTCAGTGGCCGTGGCGATGCCATAGAAGAATTCCAAGAACTTAATGGCCAGCAGTCCCTGGGCATAGAGCAGCATGAACCATGTAACAATAAGGCTGAATCCCTGCAGCAGGACAACAGGTTTATAACGGAGGTAGTCCGTGGCGAGGAACACAGGAAACAGCAGCACCAGGTAAGAGTAAGTCCATACTGGATAAATTTCATTGAAGACCTAGCAAAAAGAGAATAAAAACCCATTAATGATCAAAAGACCTGGGCCGAGGATTTAGCTCAAAAAAAAAAAAAAAACACCTGACTATTTATAAAGAACTTATTCCTAGAGAACAATGTACTAACACTTTCAATATCTCTAACCAACGAAATCTCAATAATAATAGTTCAGTTAATTATATGGACATCCTTCTCTGTCTCCACTCCATCTCCTTTTTCCTAATAAAAGCCTTCCCATTCATCTGGGCTTAGCTTAAAGACTTCTTTATCTAGAACGATTTTGTTGAAGCAGATGTTACTTCTATGACAATATTCAAGGTTCTCTTGATATCCTTTGTATGTGCCAGTGTTCCCAATTAACTCATCAGACTGGTTCACAACATCTCCCAAGAAGCTTTACAAAATCTGGATGCCATGCCAAATTTTAAAAACCTCCCAGATTTCAATAGGAGCCAGGGTTGAGAACCATTGCCTTACAAGGTTAAAAAGACAGACCCGACATTTATCTGTACAACCTAACCGCATTCTGTTTAGAAGACACAGGACAATCAGTGTTTTCAAATTCAATCATTGTCAGTTCTTCCTTCTAGGCACAGGACGGGGAGTTTCAATCCTCCTGTTTGGTTAAGTTTTTCTGATTGTAAGTTATATTTTGTCAGGGGGCAGAGGAATAGGAAAAAAGGGCAAATCTATCCTAACATTGACAGAATGATTTTCTCTGAATGGCAGGTAATTTTTATGATCTTTTTACTTATTTGTAATATGAAGAAAAAAGTTTTTTCTTTTTAAAAATTTATTTTTAACTGACAGATAACTACACATTTATGGGGTATGGTATATAGTATGGTCCATGTATACATTGTGAAATGATCAGCTCAGAACATTTAGGTTATTCATCATCTCAGACATTTTCATTTCTTTGTGATGAGAACATTCAAAATTCTTTCTTCTGTCTATGTGATCTATGATACAATTTTAGTGATAATCACCCTTCTGTATATGGTAATAAGTATATCAGTACTGCTATTTTATTTCTACCGCGAATTTTTAAATTGGGAGAGAACAGAAATAATTTTAAAAGTAAGCTTCAAATCAAAAAGAATTTTAGTTCTGTTACTTGCTGTGTAACTAGAGATGCTCCTTAACTTATGATGGGGTAATTCCTGATGCACTCATGTAAGGTGAAAATATATAAGTAAAAATGTATTTAATACCCATAACCTATCACATATCATAGATTAGCAACACAGTACACAGCAGAATGAATTATTTCCCCTTGGGATTGCATAGCTAGTTGGGAGTGGCAGCTCACCGCATATCCCACAGGAGTACAGGAGCACAAACTGGTAGCCCAGGAAACAGATAAAAATTCAAAATCTGGAGTATAACTTCTACTGAATGTGTATTGCCTTTGTTCTACCCTAAAAGTGAAATATTGCCAAGTTGAATTGCTGTAAATTGGGAACTGTGTAGTTAAGGTTCTTTAGTTTTCCTCAGCCTTACTCTCCACTATCAGTAAAGATGGGTAAAACCTATCTTGACAGGGTCATTTGTTGCAAGGATTAAATGAGAGAATCTGTTTTATTCACAAACTAAAGGATTATGGCTGAAAGGCAACCCCCCTGCGGCAATGTGAATGAACAATTATGGACTATCATTCCCATTCTTTCAACAGCAATCTCTGCAGATGATTTTTCTTTCTTTTTACACTGAATCCACTGTCTAGCAAGTACTTAAGTAAGTCAGTTTTTACGTGATAATTTCAAAGTCCAGATTAGCAGCTTCACTTTTTAAGTGCTTGTTGGAAAGTAGTCTTAGTAAGAAACTAAACAGTTTGCAAAACAGCAATCCAATGCTAGACTTTGACACTGTCTGAGGGTAATTTTCTATTTAACTGTCATGTATATCTCAATTCACCCAAGTGTGAAATGAGCTTTTTTTTAAAGATTTTTAGAAAATAAATAAATGTGGTGAAATCTCTTGCCAGTACCGAGCACAACTATAAAAGGAAAACATAGCCCCCATTTTCTGAAATATATTCCAGACTTGATTTATGACTGCCCTTGAATCACATGTGACCTATTTAACGGCCTTGCTTTCATGAATTTTGGTTAATTTGGGCTTGCAAATCAGCATCCACCCCTTGATCAGGAAACTGCTGCATCTGAATGCATGTATGAAAGAAGAATCGAGAACTGTAGAAATGATTCTTATTCCAAAGGTGCAAATGTTAGCAAATGAGGAACGAAGTGTCTGTAGCTGGTGTGACCACAGCAGAATACAGCCTGCACTAGAAAGTACACCAAAGTGGGTAAGGTAACCTTGAGATTCAAGATGTGCATGCTTTTCACAACTGGGTTCCAATTAACAACTTCCCACTCCCTTTTTGCCTAAGCTTTTAAAGATACCACTTTCCTCCAGTTTTCTAAAATTTGAAACTGCCTGCTGTTTGACTCAGGATGTTTCTTAACCTTCACATGTTCCCCAACACGTTTCACCCTACACAGTGCCACCAAGCTACTGGCCAATAGACCTATAAAAATGTTCTCTGCTAAAAATGTGGTATCATGTTTATACTAGCACAATTTACATTTTGGAAACAACCCAGATGTCTATCAACAGATGAATACCTAAAGAAAATGTGGTTCTTATATACAATGGAGTACTACTCAGTCATAAAGAAGGATACACTTGAGGCATTTTTAGGTAAATGGAGATGCACCTTGAGAACATACTTTTAAGTGAAATAAATCGGATACACATGTTTAAATATCGCACTGTTTCTCTTGTGTGACAAACGGAAAGGGTAAATAGGGGCCAAAATGGATGATGAATATTGGGAAGTAGGAAGAATATGTTCAGATGAGAAGGGGAACAAGTGAGGGGGGAGGGAGAATGGAAGGAAAGGGAAAGGAAAAAAAACAGAAAAAAGCAAGCAAAGCTTTTATAAATAAGAAGAGGAAGAAGGGTTGGAGGGGAAAGGAATGGGGAAAAAAAGAAGAATCAAGATATATTAAGTACAGGTACAATGTGATCATTATGTATATCAAGAGTACAAATAAAATTAATTTATAAA